TTGCAGCCATCATTGTTGTTTGGCGGGCCTGGGCTGGATTCGAACCTACCACCTTAGGTGTATGTGGCTGGCGCCTTAGCCACTTGAGCCACAGGCGCTGAGCTCATACTTTGTTTTTGGACAGATTGAGTTAAAGTTATAAGTGTTTCCTTCACCCAGGTAGTGTGCACTATACGCAACAGGTAATGAAGGATTTTTTTTTTTTATTAAATCATAGCTGTGTACATTGATACAGTCATGGGGTACCGTGTGCTATTTTTATATACAATTTGAAATATTTTCATCCAACTAGTTAACATAGCCTTCATGTCATTTTCTCAGTTATTGTGTTAAGACATTTATATTCTACATTTAGATCCAGCTTTTTTTTGTTTGCATAGTATATTTTCCCTCATCCTTTAACTTACAGTCTCCTTGAGTCTTTCACTCTAAAGTGTGCCTCTTATACATGGTATACAGGTGGATCACATTCTAAAACTGCAATTTGTCTATCTCTATCTTTTATGATGTTTGGAGTCCTTAATCCACTTATTTAATATAGTTACAGAGAAGGTACATATCTTCTGTTTTACTACTTATTTTCTTTATTCTGTAGTTTTTCCTCCTTGATTTCTCTATGACTGCTGTATTTTGTGTTAAGTCAATATTTTCTAGTGTAGCATTTTAATTCCCTTTTCATTTTTTCACTATGTATGTTTGAGTTATTTCTTAATGGTTTCCCGAGGGATTACAATTGTCATCTTAATTTTTAACAATCTAGTTTTGATTAATATCAACTTCATTTTAATACCGTGTAACTCTTTGCTCTTATATGACTGTTTTCTCCCCCTCCTTTATGATGTCATTGTCGTGGGAGTGACATCTTTATACGATGTGTGCCCATCAACACAGATTTCTACTTACTGCTTTATGCAATTGTATTTTAACCAAACAAAAATAATTTATACTGTCTTTTATATTTACTTATGTACTTATCTTTACCTGTGTTCTTAATTTCTTTGTGTGGATTTGAATTATTGTGTAGTATTCTTTCATCTCAGTCTTAAGAACTGTCTTTAGTTTTTTAAAAAAGAACAGTTGTCCTCATTGTTTTAGCTGACCTGGGCTGGGCTCGAAAGCCCACCAGCCTCGGTGTAAGTGGCTGGCATTGTAATCTCTGAGCACGGGCTCCAAGCCATAGTATTTCTTATAGGGCAGGTCTGCTAAGATGACTTTTCTCAGTTTTATTTATCTGAGAAGGAGAATTTATTTCTCCTTCAATTTTAGAAGATAGCTATGTTTGATATTGAGTTGTTGATTGATAGCCTTTTTTTTTTTTTCAGCACTTTGAAAATCTGAGAATCTGTTTTTTTTTTTTTTTTTTTTTTTTGAGACAGGAACCTCAAAAGCTGTCCCCCTGGGTAGAGTGCCATGGCATCTTAGCTCACAGCAACCTCCAACTCCTGGGCTCAAGCGAGTCTCCTGCCTCAGCCTCCCAAGTAGCTGGGACCACAGGCGCCCGCTATAACGCCTGGCTATTTTTTTTGGTTGCAGCCGTCATTGTTGTTTGGCGGGTCCCGGCTGGATTCGAATCTGCCACCTTGGGTGTACGTGGCTGGTGCCTTAGCCACTTGAGCCACAGGCGCTGAGCCGAGAATCTGTTTTTTTCTGCCCTTTTCTCTCTCCTCTCTTTTCACAGGACATCCATTATGTCCTGTATAGGCATCCAGTATAGGCATGTTGGTATGCTTGATGGTATGCTATACCTCTCTGACACGCTTTTTATGTTTTTTCCATTCTTTTTTCTATTTCCTATACTGGATAATCTCAATTGAGTTATCTTCAAATTCATTGATTGGTTTTTCCACCATTTCAAATCTGTTGTTAATCCCCTCTATTGAATTTTACATTTTAACGATTGTATTTTCAACTCCAGAATTTATATTAACTTCTTTTTATATCTCTATTTAGTAAATCATTGTTCACATGCTTTAATTCTTTAGACATAGTTTCCTTTAGTTCTTTGATCATATTTATGAACCTAATTTAAAGTCTTTGGTAAGTTCAACATTTGGGCTTCCTCAGGACCAGTTTCTTTCTTTCTTTTTTTTTTTTTTTGAGACAGAGTCTCAAGCTGTCACCCTGGGTAGAGTACTGTGGTGTCACACCCAATACCAACCTCAAACTCTTGGGCTTAAGCAATTCTCTTGCCTCAGCCTTCCAACTAGCTGGGATTACAGGTGCCCACCACAATGCCCAGCTATTTTTTTGGTTGTAGTTGTCATTGTTGTTTGGCAGGCCTGGGCTGGATTAGAACCCACCATCTCTGGCTATATGGCTGGCTCTCTAGCCGCTGAGCTACAGGTGCAAAGCCTCAGGAAAAGTTTCTATTGTATACTTCTTTCCTATGTATGAGGCTTACTTTCTGACTTCTTCGTGTGTATTATAAATTTTGTTGCAAACGGATATTTAAAATAATACAATACGGTAACTCAAGAAATTAGATTCTTCCTCCCAGACTGGGTTTTTTGTTTTTGCTGCTTATTTATTTAATTTTGTGGTTACTGTTTGTTTAGTGGTGTTCGTGGGATAGTAAAGTCTCTATTCTTTGTTGAATACAGCTAAAATCTCTACTCAGTCAATTTAGTGGACAGCTATATGAGTGGACAGAATTTCTTGAATTCCTTGAACCAATAAGACTCTCAGTTTTTTTTTTTTTTTTTTTTTTTTTAGACAGAGTCTTACTCTGTTATCTAGTCTAGGGTACAATGGCATGATCACAACTCAATGCAACCTTGAACTCCTGGGCTCAAGTGATCCTCCTGCCTCAGCCTCCTGAGGAGCTAGAACTACTGGCATGCACCACCATGTTCAGCTAATTTAACACATTTTTTGAAGAGATGAGGCCTGGGATGGGCTCCAACTCTTGGCCTCAAGTGCTCCTTCCACTTTGGCCTCCCAAAGTGCTGGGATTACAAGCATGTGGCAGCTTGTAATTACACCCAGCTGGTCAGACTATTTTCTTTTCTTCTCTCTCTTTTTTTTCTTTGACAGGGTCTAATTCTTTTGCCTGGGCTATGGTACAATGGTGTCATCACAGCTTACTGCAACCTCAAAACTCCTGGGCTCAAGCAATCTGCCTGTCTCAGCTTCCCAAGTAGCTGGGACTACAGATGTGTGCCACCATGCCCAGCTAATTTTTCTATTTTTTGTAGAGACAGGGTCTTGATGTGTTGCTCGGGTTGGTCTCAAACTCTTGGCCTCCAGTGATCCTTCTGCCCCAACCTCTTAAAGTGCTAGGATTACAGATGTGAGTCACTGCCCTGGCCAGGTTAGACTTTTCTTAGCTCTAAGTAGCATTGGCTATCTCTGGTAGCTATGGCCTTAAATAATTGTCCCTGATCATTTTCAACAAATGCCCTAGGGATAGGGCTGTTCTCTCTCTCTCTCTTTTTTTTTTTTCTGAGACAGAGTCTCACTATGTCATCCTTGGTAAGTACCATGGTGTCACAGCTCACAGCAATCTCTAACTCTTGGGCTTAAGTGATTCTCTTGCCTCAGCTTCTCAAGTAGCTGGGAATATAGGCACCTGCCACAGTGCTCAGCTATTTTTTGTTACAGTTGTCATTGTTGTTTAGCAGGCCTGGGCCAGTTTCGAACCCTCCAACCTTGGTACATGTGGGTGGCACCCTAACCACTGAGCTACAGGCACTGGGTTGACAGGGCTATTATAGAGAAAGCTTTGAATGAGGTCAAATAAAGGCAAAGACTGCAGATTGAGCTTTTCAGGGAGCTTCCTGACAGTTCTCTGCAGATGGGATTTTTAGGGACTTCCAAACCTATGGAAGTGCCAGTGCCCTCACTGGCTATAGTGGCTGCTAGGCTGATTGTTTTCATGGCTACCATAGTTGGGCATTTCTTGATTTTCTTTTTTTTTTTTTTAAAGCTACTACAGAGCTAGAACAAGGTGGATGGGAATAGGGCAAGTGAAAAATACCAGAAAACTTAACTGTTATCTATAGACAGTCATTTTTCTGGAATAAATGCTTCTTGGAATATTATAGACTTTTAATTTTCAGAGTTCCAAAAAAGGTGATTTTGACAATTTTTACCAGTGTTTTTGTTACTTTTTATAGAGGAAGAAATTTTTTGACATCCTTTCTTTATTGTTCCAGAAGTGCTTTCTATAAAATTGTTTTAAGAGCACTTGTAAAACATGGAATGGAGAAAAGCCATAGAAAGCCAATATTTTCTGAAATTAGTGACATGAGGGAACCTTGACAAAAGGCAAACTGTTACTATTTTTTATGTAAATTATTGCATTATTTACATTTATAATATATATGCATGTGTTTCAATACATATTGTTATATTAGTCAAATGAAGTTATTTGACATAAAATACAAAATGATTGTGTTTCAGATGAGGTTCTGTAGATTTGTATCAAGTAGAAAGGTGGTAAAAGTTAACTAGCGTCAAAAGATCTGTTTTCTAATTTCCCCTTTATAATAATATATTTTCTCCAATTTTATTATCAGGCATATCCAGATTATGTAGAATGATTTTGAAGTATTTCTTCTTTTTCTATTGTCTATAAGATTTGACATGATATGTTTTTTGAAATTATCTTTTGCTTTTATTTATAAATATTCTTTATTTTTTGAGACTTTGGAAAAAAAAAAAGAAGTTAATTGATGACTCCATACTGAACCTCAGAGTCAAAGCATTCTATAATAGACAGACTCTTATTTGACAATGTGAATGTTACTTTCTTTGCATTATTATTATTATTATTGCTTAATATTTCGATGCAACAATCATCTGATTTCTGAACGTATTTATCTTCGTTCCTTCTTTACAAGGTTTTTGTTTCTAGTCCTTATCTTAAACATTGTTATTGTTATTAAATTTTAAGCCTTTTTAATTTCGTGAAGGCAAAAGTGGAAACCTAGTAAACACATGCTTTTTGGAAAAAAATAAAGAAAAAAAGTTCTGATTTCTCTTTCACTTTGCTGTTTTAGGTGTACAGAGCCAATGGGCCTGATGGAGCCATTGGCAGAGGCCAGAGAATCCACCTGCAGTTATGGGACACGGCAGGTCAGGAGAGGTATGAGATCTTAGGTGCTTCTTACTCATGGAAAGAGAAAAATAACTATAGTCATCATATAGTGACCTGAGCAGGAAAAAGCTAGCTGATTAGTTGATTTGCACCTCGATAAGATCTGTTGCTAAATTAGCAGGAAATTTATCAATCAGAGATAATAATGGTGGCTTTATTTCATACAAGGTCAAAGGAAAACTGAATACTTTTCAAAATAGACCTTTTTACTTTTTCTTTTTTCCTCTTTTTTTTGGACTTACATATTTTTCTCCCTTTACTTTTATTGTTTGTTCAAACATAAGAAAGCTGCAAAGTTGCCTTGTATCATCTTACCTGATTGATGAAATCTTGTGGAAAATCTGGCTGGAATTAATTCACATGGCCAGAAGTTACTTGACCAAAATAAGTCACATGAAATCGTGATATAAAATTGCTTCTAGTTACCTATAGCTTTTGTTTTCTGTCTGAGCCACCTTGTAGAATTGTGTTTGTTTTTCAACTTTGTATTGTGAAAAAAACTTCAAGCTTTCTTTTTTTTTGGCTGGGGCTGGGTTTGAACCAGCCACCTCTGGCATATGGGGCATATGCCCTACCCTTTGGAGCCACAGGCACCACCCAACTTCAAGCTTTTGTAAAAGCATAGAAGACAGTATGGTGAACCCATGTACCCATTACTTATTTTCAATAATTATGAAGTTGTGGCTGATCATTGTTTTGTATATGTCCCTTACAATTTCTTACCCCTCAAATTCTAGACATCATTTTATTTCATTTAAATTCATTGTTGGTATATAGTTCTAAAAGGTAAGAACTCTTTTTATAAAAACGCAGTTTAAAATGTTTGAGGAAAACCTAATGTTGCTAATTTGATGATAAATTTATACCAATATTTTCTTCTTTGAAGCTTGACCGTCAGTCACAGGCTTTGCATATGGGGGAGTGAGAGTAAACTGGTCGAGGGGGAGAGAGGAGGCAGCAGGATAGAGCCTTGGAAGGCAAAATACCAAGAAAGGACAGGGTCTGAATCAATGTGCTATTCCCACCCTAAAGCCAAAGAAATGGTTATTGAGATACAAGATTTCTGTAGAGACTGATGTTCAAAGATCATGCAGCACATTGTGGTGTCAAGATGAGCTGTCACAGAAGGAAAGCAGACCCAGCAAGGACCTGGCTTTTGGCCTAATTAACTCATAATTGTACGATAAATTCTTGGCTAAGACTAAGAGATCACAAACTAGTTCTCCTTAACCCTGTCCGGCAGGCTGGGTTTTCAAATCACAGCGTCTGTGAAGCTGATGTAAGTGATCAATAACTGTCCTATATACTTCTGGAATATCATCAGGTACTTTGTTATTGATAAACCTTTCTAAGAGGCTGAGGGCATTTCTTTTAGTTTTATATTTCAGTTATAGCTCAGCTAACTAATCGGCTCTTGTGTTTTCTAGGTTTCGTAGCTTGACAACAGCGTTCTTCAGAGATGCTATGGGTTTTCTTCTACTTTTTGATCTGACAAATGAACAAAGTTTCCTCAATGTCAGAAACTGGATAAGTAAGTGTCAGCTGTTTCCCTGTGTCCCGCTCCCCACTCTCTGGAATGGAAGGCTCCCTCAGGCGCTACTTTTAGAGGAGCTTCTAGTACGTGCAAATGTATAAAGGAGTGAGGTTTTTGGTTTAGGGGTAAAGATAACTAATTGAAATACTCTGCTTTTCCTTTTACCGTGATTTATTGAATACAACTTATGCTCCAGGTCCAAGGCAGCACTTTAAGTGTAATCTAATCAGTTTGTTCTATGGGGTCTTTCATCACTATTTTACAGGCAAGAAAGTAGAAGCCTGGAGAAGTTAAATCTCTGTCTGCTTGCCTGTTGTGTGTTATGGATGCTTGCACCATCCCTGGGTATTAAATAGACATCTTTTGAAGACTTGATGGATCATGTCTCAGGCCCAATAAGGTCCCATCTCTGATTTTAGCAGAGCATTGGCTAGGAGGACCCTGTGGTGGAATATTCTACGAGACGTTAGCCAAAGTGATCCTGGTGCAATATACATCAACCTTCATTTTGGCTCTTTGGAGAGATTCTAATCTCCAAATTGACAGCCATTTAAAATCCTGCCACTTGGCCAAATAACACTTTTTTTTTTTTTGGAGACAGAATCTTACTTGCTGCCCAGGCTAGAGTGCCATGATGTCAGTCTAGCTCACAGAAACCTCAAACTCCTGCGTCAAGTGATCCTCCTGCCTCAGTCTCCCCAGTAACTGGCACTATAGGCACCCACCATAACACCTGGCCAATTTTTTCTATTTTTAGAAGAGTCAGGGTTTCTCTTTACTCAGGCTGGTCTTGAACTCCTGAGCTCAAGCAATCCTCCCAGAGTGCTAGGATTACAGGAATGAGCCACCACCGCCACCAGCCTAATAGCTTTCAAATGTATATTTTTCTTCTTAGTTTGTATGATTATAACCCCAGAGAATTTATTAGAGAAGGCTGTGATATTACATTCTTAACATCCAAATCTTGAAAGCATTTACTTAAAAATATCTACTTCAAAAAAATTACTTGGTGTTTTGGGATTACGAAAAGGTAATTGCTTATAGTTTTGATAATAGCCTTATTTTTAAGAAGAGTTTCAAAATTATTTTATATGGCACACTGTGGCTTTCAAAGTATTTTCACACACTTTGTAGCTAATCATCACAACCACCCTGTAAGTGGGTTTGGGTTGGTGTGTCCTTATTTCAGGATGAGGACACTGTGCCATGTAGAGTAATAGACTTATGCAATAACATGAAATTTTGGCTTTCAGTTCAGTGACTGTCTAGGTCTTTTCTCAAGTGACTTGGGCCCTAAGAGCTATTAAATGCTTTAAATATGAGCTCTCCAAATGTAGTTATTCCTACTGGGCTTCACTTCACTAGGTGCCAGGCTGGGTTGTACACCTTGTCAGTTCCCTTGCCTCTGAATGATGGTGCCAGTGTCTGGTCCCTTATCCTCTGCTCATCATCCTCACCTTTGCTCCTTCAGCATGAGTCCTGGGGTTCTCTTAAATCACATACTTTATAAGGATCCCAAGAGAGTACGTTGAGAATCTTTGCATTGAATGATAATAAACCTGTTTTTTACAGGTAGAAACTGAAATTCTGAGACATTAGATAAGTGCCTGGGCATTATAGCTAAAGAACAAAATCACATAAAAACATGTATGTATGTATTCTGTTTTCCTTACACAGTAAAGAATCTTTTTTTTCTTTTTTGCAGTTTTTGGCCAGGGCTGGGCTTGAAGCCACCACCTCTGGTCTATGGGACCGGTGCCCCGCTCCTTGAGCCATAGGGGCCACCCAAGTAAAGAATCTTTATTACCAAGTTAGGTTAAAAAAACCCATGTGCATGTTAAAGATTTCGTATCTCCAATGGAAAATATTCCCCCTCTTCTCCCATTTAAATAAAAAGGGATGATGTTCAATGTCAGAGGTGGTAATAGCAAGTCTTAGATATAAAGAAATAAAAACTTAGAAATAAGCTTAGAAATAAAAATTTCTATCCATTTTATTTTTCCTCTGCCTGTCAGCATTTTGAGTATTATAGGGATCATTCATTTTTCTCTTTTCCTCAAAATAATAACTTATCTAGAACTTATTTAAATATATTTAAAATATTTATTTATAAAATTGGCATGTGCCATGATGGAGACAGTGTCACATTAAAGCAGCAGCTGACTCCTGGGTCCTGACCGGCCAGGGAGAGGACCGCAAACTGCACCCTCCCTTTGCTCCTCACAGGCCCTTCTTTCTCAGCTACACACCTCTTCATGCCCTGTTTGGAAGGGCGATAAGGATCTCCAGGTGAGGTCCGCTCAGTTTAGGACACTGAACAGTGACCTGAGTCCTGGGGCCTGGAATGAAATCTGAAAGGAACTAGGTGGTGTCGTATCCCATCCTGGGTCTTCCTGGAGGTTTGGGGGAAGTAAGCGAGTCCTGCTCAGGGTCATTCCTTATCCAGGGCCAGCATGATTTGGAAGGAGGCTTTAAGGTGAAACTGCTGCAGCCACACACAAGCAGTACAGGAGCCTGAAAGTATATATTTAACTTCTTAAAGTTTTGGTTGGGGCTGGGTTTGAACCCGCCACCTCTGGTATATGGGGCTGGTGCCCTACTCCTTTGAGCCATAGGCGCCACCCTCCATTTAACATGTTTTTACCTCTCTCTTTTTACTCCTATTATTCCCTCTGTCTGAAAATCCCTTACGTATCCACTCCCATTTTTAAAAACTGGTTAGAGTTCTCCTTGTTCTTTATCACTTGGCAAAAGTGGCCTCTGTGAAACTTCCTGTGATAACCTTGGTTGGACTAGACTTTTCCCCGCCTCTTAACGCCGGTCACATTTTATACGGCTTATCACATCTTGCCTCATGCTATAGTTATTGATGTAGGTGCCTTTTTCCTTAGTGATATTTTTAAAATAATGAATTGCTTTTTGTTTAAGCATAATCTATGTAAGAAAATTAGAAAAAAAGAGATAGAAAAGGTCACCAAGAATCACCCTTCCTAAACTCCCCCTCTCCGTTAAAAATCCCCCACTACTAACCATTATGACTGGTAATGCTTACAGTTCTTATAAATGCTTTTCTATGGTAACTCAGTGGTTCTCCAAAGTGAGTGTGCATCTGAATTACCTGGGCGGATTGTTAAAACACAGACAGCTAGCCTCAGCCTTCCTGATCTGCGGTGGGATCTGAGAACTTGCATTTCTCAGGTGGTGGTAAGGGTGCTGGCCCTCAAACCTTAGCCAGAGATTCACTGAATTTACCTACTTCATCTTTTACCTTGACCTAGGAAATAAGTTGTATCGTTATCACCATTTACAGATGGGGAAAGTGAAGCAGGCAACTACCTTCCTCAGGGTCACATGGCTAGTAAATGGCAGAGCCAGATTCAAACCCAGGCACACTGGGTCCCGAGTCCACACTCACAGCCCTGATACTGGACATGTAAGGCATTCACAGAGCCATTCGACAGACCAGAAAGATTCCACAGCAGAGATAACCATGAAGCAAGTCTCAAAGGAAGGTTGTGGTTGGGTGTTCAAGGGTGTGGGAACAGCTTGTGTTGCAACCTGGAGGGAACAAAGGGCATGACTGTTGTGAATGGTGTACACTTTGGTCTTGAACTTGTAGACCTCCTTACCCCACTTACCCCTTGAAGGCAAAGAATTGTCCTGAAATTCCATACCAAATAGCAGGCCTGTGTTACTGCTTGGTAAATGCCTGCTGACTGGACTTTCTTTTGATAATACAATAATGAACATGACTTCACAACGAGGAACTAAAATGTCAACACTTTTCTGGTTAACCGTGATAAAAAATAAATGAGGCCTTGCACTTTGAGGTATGTCTTATTGTGAAAGTTTGAGTTGCATTAGTTTCACCCTGGGGTGTGTTGAGTAAGAAATAAGACTTTATTTTTCCTTCTTTGGGAGATTATTTAGCTTAGTGTGAAGGTCTTACTTTTGAGTCAATTGCTTTTTGTAAGGCTGCCTCTTGAAAGGTTTTCAGGGGAAACAAAAGCTGTGGGAAAAGAATTATAGTCCTCGGCTTCCCCTGGGTTCTGGTAATAGAATTATTTACTGTTTATTCTTGGTCTTTTCTCCTCATTAAATCCTCTATCTTGTTTTATTTTTTATTTTTTTTGAGACAGAGTCTCAAGCTGTCACCCTGGGTAGAGTGCTGTGGCTTCACTGCTCACAGCAACCTCAAACTCTTGGGCTTAAGCCATCCTCTTGCCTCAGCCTCCCAAGTAGCTGGGACTAAAGGTGCCTGCTACAAAGCCCAGCTGTTTTTTTGGTTATAGTTGTCATTGTTGTTTGGCGGACCTGGGCTGGATTGGAACCTGCCAGCTCTGGTGTATGTGGCTGGTGCTCTAGCCACTTGAGCTACAGGTGCTGAGCCATATCTTGTTTGTTTTAAATAAATTGATTCTGCCCTAGGATGCTAGAAAAATGTAAAAAACATTTCCAATGGAAATAGGTTGGTTTATAGGAAGATAATCCTTTTAGAGATGTTGTTGCTGTAGAGAAAAAATAAGTGAAAAATCAGAGCTTTAAGATGAGCAATAAGTCATAGGAAGTCCTCCAGGTTTCTCACAAAAAGTCTGATGTTTTGTGTGTGTGCACATGTGGGCACTCACCTTTTGAGGGCTAGCACATTCTCTCATAGCTCTCTGGTATGAATTAACTCGGGTATGTGGTTAAGAATATTCAGCTTTATACTTTAGATTATTGATGCTTTGAAGATATATCAGCTTCTGGTATCTGTTATATACATTTGCAGCTTTCTTTCTTTTTTTTTTTTTGAGACAGAGCCTCAAGCTGTCACCCTGGGTAGAGTGCTGTGGCATCACAGCTAACAGCAACCTCCAACTCGTGGGCTCAAACGAGTCTCCTGCTTCCGCCTCCCAAGTAGCTGGGACCACAGGCGCTCACCACAACGCCCGGCTATTTTTTGGTTGCAGCCATCATTGTTGTTTGGCGGGCCTGGGCTGGATTTGAACCGGCCAGCTCAGGTGTATGTGGCTGGCACCTTAGCTGCTTGAGCCACAGGTGCTGAGCCCATTTGCAGCTTTCAAAGAACTTTTGCATGCATTCTTTGATCATATGCTCACATTATTGCTTCCCTCTAATGAACTTTCTTATATTAATAGGTCAGCTACAAACGCATGCATATTGTGAAAACCCGGATATAGTGTTATGTGGAAATAAGAGTGACCTTGAAGACCAGAGAGTAGTAAAAGAGGAAGAAGCCAGGGGACTTGCAGAGAAATATGGGTGAGTATTTCTGCGGAGAAATCTAGAGAAAGCATTTTCTTTTTTTTTTGAGAAAGCATTTTCAATATAAACATTAGCGCATGACCGTGTAACACAACAGATAAAAGTGAAAAATTAAAGCAAAACCTCAATTGTAGGCCTGGAGAGTGTCAAACATCCCTCCTTTTTATATTAATATTATGTGATAGTGGGAGCCAGAGAAAAACCATGGGGTGAGGGCGCCCTTTTGTGCTTCAGTCCTGTTTCCTCAATCTCTTGGCATTTGTATGAAGACAGCTGGGAGTGCAAACGCCCTGGGTAAGGCCTTCTTTCGAAGTACGAACAAGAGACCCCTGGGACAAGGAAATCCTCTATGTTCAGTAAGGATATTTCAAAATTAGTTCATATGTTGTTGTAGAATTCTAGCATACCTAATACACACGATGAATAATTAAGTCTTATTGGGTATTGCAGACTGAGTTCTGGTTTTGAAATTTCTATGCTGGGAGGGGGGTATGAGATCCTCTTTGGTGTAGGCTGTTTTTCTAGTGGAGGGTCAAATCCTGGGTATAGGGTCATAGTAGCAGCTCCATGAATTAGGCATAAAAGACGTAGTCGGTTGTTGCTTGTTAAAAGTGTCAAAGTCACTTCTACAGAGGAATTTGTATTCTCCTTCCACTTATCATATGGTTGAGAATCCAAATGTAAATTCAATGCCCCTCCAGTATTGAAAATGGGAGACAGCAATGAAGGTTGAGGATGGAGGGGAGGGAGATGGAGTGGTGTGGTGTGGTAGGTAAAGGATGGTACCCAGCTAGCAGCGTTAGTGTTTGGGCAGAAACCAAGGAGGCCGGGGATCTGGGATCTGGCCTTTCCCTTTTCACTGTGTGACCATTGCTTTGTTCTTCCTTGGGCTGAAGGAAGTTCAGAAAACTGATAGGGTTTACACTTGGAAGGGAGTGGAAGGACAGGTTGGCCAGCTGGGAAGAGGCCAGATTCTGGAAAGCTTTGAATACCTCTGTGGGAGACAGGGTGTTCCCAAGAGCCTTTGAGCATGGAGGGATGTTATGTGTGTTTTTCTAGATCAGCATGGGAGTTGTAGCTGGGATAAAATGGAGGGAGGAGGGACTAGCGACAGGGAGATGGCAGTGATCTGTGAGGTGGGAAGTGGCTGTATTTGTGGGAAAGGAAAAGAGAATAAATTTGGAAAAAAAATGCTTAGGGTGGGGGAGAACAGAATTTTAAACCTTTCTCAATTCTAGCTCACTTGGGGGAGTCTCAGCAACTATGGGCTTACTGTAGCAAGGATTTAAAATCGGATGTGGAGGTTTTTACCCTAGGGTAGTTGCTATCTAACCATGTTGGAAGCATCTGGAGAGCTTTTAACAAATGTTCATGTCTGGGCCTTCCCTTCATGCATCTGACATACATGGTCGGGAGGAGTTTGTCAGGCAGGGTTCAATTGAAGAAATACCTGTATGTATGTACAGGGATCTGGTATGCGGACTTGACCACATGCAACTGTGGGAGCTGGTTAAGCAGTCTCTGTGAGGTGTCGTCTTTGTGTTTGATGCGAAAGCTTGAAATCTGCAGGATAGGCAGTTAGAAAGGAGAGTTGGATATCAAGTGGGGGATAGATGGGAAAGTGAGAACCAGCTGGGACCCATAATGACGGACTAATCCATGGCAGCTCTGGTCGCCTCTGCCTCTGTGTGGGTGTCCTGCAGAAGCCAGGGCCCTTTGCTGCAGGGCTAACCACACACCCCTGGCCCAGGAGCAGGTCTGGTTGCCGTTGTCTGCCAGTGAGATGAGCCAGAAGATAACAACACATGTGAGCTATAAAGTGGCTGCTGCCTCATCTCTGCCCCCACATCTCTCCCAAATCTGCTTTGTGGTTCACCCTAACCAGAAAGAGAATTCTGGGACATGCTCCCTAACTGGAAAGAGAATTCTGGGACATGCTGTTCAGCCTGACCAGATTGACACATTACAAAGCCTGACACATTGGTACCTTTTAAAAGCTCTCAGTGTGTTTTTCATGTATAGTGGTGGAGAACCACTGATTTAGGTGATTCCAGGGTGGCAACTGACAAAGCCCCACGGATGGTTTTCATATGCCCCCCTATTCCCTCGAGAGGCACTAGTGTAAAGTAGTGGGTGGGTAGGGGCGAGGGACCCAAGGAGAGGTCAGCGACCACAGAGAATACTGAAGTGTCGAAGCCGGGAGCTGTGTTGCAAAGGAGTGAGGAGGAAGTTGCGATGAGCAATGGAAACCATGCATCTGGACCATGCGTTTGACAAGTGCCTTTGTAAATGGGAAAAAAGAAAAGGCAGTTAGGGGAGTTAGTTAGATCAAACAAGTATATTCTCAAATGCTGGGGGAGAGTCAGGATGAACTTCTTTCCCCACTGGGCTTCTTTAGCCCTTTGTTATTTATTCTGTTCTGCTTCTCAGGATTCCACAGCCCACCTAGTAGTACAGAGCCAGACTTGGGGCCTTCTGCCATACTGGGTATCTGAGGAATGAGGGGACTTTCACCTGTGCCCCGTGCAGGATGGCTGGGGAGTGTTTCCTCAATCTGTAGTTTCTGGGTTGAGTTAAAATGAGCAGAGAGGGATCAGCAGATAGGAATAATTGAAACTCTTGAAAGAAAAGGGACGGAAGCACAAAGCGTTCTGTAGGCTGCTGGGCGCTTTCACAGACAAATGTGCTGGAGCAATCTGGTGCACGTGGCATTTTACAAATCTGGCTTAAAGTTTAATGATTATTTTCACAGACATCTTATTTTATTCTTAAATAGCATTTTTTATTGATTGCATGTGCACTAAAGGGCTCTAGTTGTCAGTTAGCCAAGAGGGTACAATTTATGGGAGATCTTCATATCATTTGTAGGTTGTTGGACAAATTGAGGTTTCTTGTAATTGTATTTATTATTAAATCATAGCTGTGTACATTAATGCAATCATGGGGTACAATGTGCTAGTTTTACACACAATCTGCAATGCTTTCATCAAACTGGTCAACATAGCCCTCACGGCATTTTCTTGTAACCATTAAGCTGTCTTCCAGCCTCAATTTATAACAATGGGTCATGAGCTCACAAGTGGTACTCTGGAATATATGTATATATATACATTCAGAGAATGAAAGACTCTGTCTCAGAAAAACTTTGCAAGCCTAATACAGAACATTACATGCATGTAGGGAACACGAATCTGTGTGTGCTGGGACAAGTGAATCTGAGAATAAGGATTTTACACAGCAGTTGAAAGTGGAAAAGGTAAATTGCCTGAATATCAGAAACAGTTTTTATTTCAGGTTTTTACAATCTTTATTTTTAAAAAGTCAATATATGCAGTATAGGAAACTGAAGAACACAAGAAGTAAAGAATGGAGCCATTGCAAAGAGGTTTATAGTTTGACATGCCCTTCTAGATCCCGAGTTTACACACCCAACATCCAGTTTTATGGGACTGAGATCGTAGTATGTATTATACTTTTTCACACATCATGAATATTTACCAGTCCGAAATCCTAAAGCTGTATGAGTATCTTGATAACCACGAATACACTACACAACTCAATCTGTTAGGAAAAAATGCAATCCTGCCTTTCTTGGGACTCAAACGAAAAAATATTCTTTTTAGTAGCCTAAGAGTTTTTGCCTCTAATTTTCTAGGTGTTTTTTTTTTTGCTTTTGTCTTTGCTGTGAGTCTTGGTTAAATTGTAATATGAAAATACGAAGCTCTTAGGTCACTTCCTAAGAGAACAAGTGATCTCTCGGCTAACCCAGTTGAATTTTCCCAGGACAAGTACAAAATAATGTTCTCTGGTATGTTGTGTTGAGTGATATCATCAAGGAAGTCAGAAAAGAGAGCAGAACAGAAACTTGTGCAAACTTGTACTTCTGCCATGATTAAAATGCACACTTGCTAAAATGCTCTAAAAGTATCTACTAAGTCAGTGGCAAATACGGTTATTAAATACACTATTTAAAATAGACTATTTTAAATTGCACGCGAACTTTATGGCCACCCTGTATATTAGGAGAGAGCAGAATGAAGCATTGTCGACATCTCTGTTTTAGATGACACGGTTAGATCTCAGGCTTCAGGTGCCTAAGAATTTCCTGAGTGCCTGCCGTGTCTCACAAGTTCTCATCCAGGCTTGGGGTGGAGCCCACAAATTTACATTTCTAACTAGTCCCTAAACACTGCTGCTGTTGGTTCAGGACAGCACTTTGAGAAAACCAGCATAGACGCCTAGTTACTATCAGGAATCCGTGCTATTTGACATTTTCCTTGGCAGGTGTGCACACTAGCGTGTCTTTTCCTTGGACAAAGTTATTCATACACAGACTATGAAACGGTTGTCTCCTTGTGCCATGCATGGGTAAGGGAAATGTGCACAGTGACTTATCCCTGAAAAATCCATGCTGAAGAGAGGACTTTTTTTTTTTCCTTGCACAGTTAATTATCTCAGCTATGATACAGACTAGGAAGGGGAATTGGTACTCAGGGAACACCTAACCAGACAGTGACGTCACTCTGTGAGCGAATATGACTTAGGTGATTCCAAGGTGGCAACTGACAATGTGGTTGCATTAAACTGCCTGCCCACACTGCTTTATTCACAGAGGGTTGCTGGAGGTCAGAATAAGACTTTGTTCCTGATTTGGACTTGAGGGAAATAGAGAAAATTGTGACTATCCTCAAAGTGTGACAACTGAATGTATGTATTTCATGCGCTGTACAAAGAAATGGGCAGTGATATGACATTTTCCCCACCGAAGGCTACTGGCTGTTGGTGAGGGAGAAGCTTAAGAGTGTCTGGAATGGGCTTGGCACCTGTGGCTAAGGCACCAGCCACATACACCTACAGTGGTGGGTTCGAATCCAGCCCGGCCCGCCAAAACAACGACAGCTGCAACCACAAAATAGCTGGGTGTCGTGGTGGGTGCCTGTGGTCCCAGCTACTTGGGAGGTGGAGGCAGGAGACTTGCTTGAGCCTAGGAGTTGGAGGTTGCTGTGAGCTGTGATGCCACAGCACTCTGCCCAGGGGGATAGCTTGAGGCTCTGTCTCAAAAAAAAGAAAGAAAGTATCTGGAATGGGCTTCAGTGGTGGCTCATGCCTGTAATCCTAGCACTCTGGGAGGCTGAGATGGGAGGATCCCTTGAGCCTAGGAGTTTGAGATTAGCCTGAGCAAGAAAGAGACTCCATCTCTACTAAAAATGAAAAGCTGAGGCAAGAGGATCACTTGAGCCCAAGAGTTTGAGGCTGCTGTGAGCTATGACGCCATAGCACTCTACCAAGGGTGACAAAGTGAAACTGTCTCAAAAAAAAAAAAAAAAACTCATTAAAAAAAAGTGTGTCTGGAATAAAAGAGGAATTAAAGACATTTACTAACAACTTTAGTAATATCAGTGCAGATCATTTTGGGAGTTTCATTCAAGTGGCTTAGTTTTGCAGAATGATCAGAATTTTATCTAGTATCTAAAGGCTTCATTTTTACAAAGTTGTTGGGATTCTTTCTTGATCTGAGAAATAAACTAGTGATGTATCATTGGGTATGTTTTAAGCCCCCATAAATAAACCACAGACTTACAAGAATGATTTGCAGAGCCCCATTTATCTCAGTAGAGGATCTAGATTTCATTTGCTGCAATCTTCCAGGTTCAAGTTCAAGCAGTCAGCCCCTTTCTGTAAATGTCATTTCATTTAGTGTCCAATAGATTATGAAAAAGTAGCGAGACTCACTTCTCACTTTAAGGAGAAATTTCTCTTGTGAATTTCTATGTGAACCAAATATCTAGAACCATTTGACAGAATCACCAAACATAGTTGTATAATTCCTGGAATCTTCTAACTGGTATCTAGGATCTTCTTGTTTTCTGGAACTAAAAGAAAAGAAATCAGGTAGATGTGGATCCTAACCTATGGCAGGAGGGAGATCTTGGTGAAAAGATACTGTAAGCAAGTATGTCCCTCTCATTGATTTGAACTTGTTCATTGAATTATTTTTATTTTAAAATTAAAGATTAATCAGTGTTTAAAAAGCATATTAAAATTGGTCTGCATGTACCCCAAATGGCCACTAAGTGACCATTTACACGCTGGTACTACAGAATTTGTTCAGGCTTTTAGCAGTGCTGTTCTGTGGAAACGTTACATTAGCACCACCCCGTGGAGAGAAGGAATATTTTTCTGAGGCGAAACTGGGTCAGTTCAAAATCTTGAACTTAGGGGTTGATTATTACATTTTTGCCTAATAAGTTTTGGGCACAGCAGAAGATTTTTTAGAGAAGAAAAAAAAATCCCATTAGATTAACATTTATTGCTGGGTGGTAGGCATGTGCTAAGCACTTGACATATATTATCTCCTTTCCTTCTTACTGCAATCCCATGGACCTCTGTTACTTCCCTTTTCAGATAGGGAGGCAGTGTCCACAGTTGGAAATGGGGATACATACAGTTAGTTTACTCTGGAACCCAGAATCTTAACAGCTGGACTTTATTTCTTCTTTTATCCTCACTTCCCTCCCCAGTTCAGACTATTTTTACATTGCTTTTAAAATGTGTAACATATTTAATAAAACTATTCCGATAAGGTAGGTTAAACTTCTAAAGAAAGCATTTAAAAGATATGGACATAAAAATATTCCCAATTCCATCTAGTAGCCTTCCAGTGCCCTTCGTGCAAGCAGCACAGTCCAGTTTTCAAATGTAAGAGCCGTACACATTTCTGTCTCTGGGATATCATTTTCCTATGGAAGGAAAAATCTTAATTCAGAGTCTTTTCTCTGATCCCGTATAGTTTTTTTCCTCTGGCAGCTCAAAGAACTGAATGGAATGAACTATATCATTCATTTATTCCTGTAGAAATGAAAGCTCTATTGTCCCACTTGCTCAGATTTTAAAGTTGTTTTCCTGATTCCTGGTTGCATGACTTGGGGGTTCACAAACGGCAAGAAAATATGCTTTGAATTGAAATAAGTTTATTGCTTGAATTTGGAGTTATAATTTTAAACCGTATCATGGTAATATTGCACATCTTTTACTATGAGTGACTTAAAAATGTGTAACTTCACTCCTACACTTTGAAAGTCTACCCAGTTAGATATTTGATTAAGCTAATAAACATTGAACTAGAGGCAATAGTCATTTACACCTCGACATTAATCAGTGAAGTAAGATCCATTTTCTTTTGCTAGTATTTAGTGAAGATCATTTGAGGAGTGAAGGGTTTAATGAGGCATGAAGGAGGCAGATGCTTTGGGGCATGAGGCACTTTGGCTAGGACAGGTCGAGTGATCCATCTGTGATGTAGGGAAGCACGGTCCCAGGTACTAGAATTAGGGAAGTTCTGTAGATTTTAAAGACCAGCTGCATTGTTGATTAAACCAAACTTTGTGGGCTAGTCTGGGAATTTAATGTTTACAATATTGCTAGTGACATAATACGTTCTGAGTTTTAAACAACAAATTTACAAATAAACTTTTATGACCTAAATACATTTCTGTGCTGGAAATAAACATTTATCAAGTGTTTACTATATGTCAGATTCTGATCTAAGAGCTTTTATTTAATTTTTTTTGAGACAGAGTCTCAACTTGTCGCCCTGGGTAGAGTGCAGTGGTGTCACAGCACACAGCAACCTCAGACTCTTAGGCTTAAGTGATTCTCTTGCCTCAGCTTCCCCATTAGCTGGGACTACAGGTGCCTGCCACAATGCCCAGCTATATTTTTCTGTTGTTGCAGTTGTCATTGTTGTTTTAGCTGGCCCAGGCTGGGTTTGAACCCACCAGCCCTGGGGTATATGGCTAACGCCATAACCACTGTGCTACACGGACTGAGCTGCAAATGACAATATTTGTACAGTGGGTACGGTGGCACACACCTGTAACCTCAGCTACTTGGGAGGCTGAGGCAGTAGAACTGTTTGATACCAGCCTGGACAATATAGTGAGATCCCATCTCAGAAAAAGAAAAGAAAAAAATCCTTTACAAAATTATTTGTACAGCTCCCTGGGATAAATGAAGAAGGCTGCTCAAGGTTGGAGAAGATGGGTTCATGGACTCTGGCTTCTGTAGGCTCTTCTCAGTTGTCCCAAGGCTGAGGGATCAATATCATCTCAGGTACACCTGTAACTCACTGCACATCAACACACTTTGGCTCAGCTTTAGATTGTATGCATAGAATTGGTGTTACCAGGCACACTTTCAATTTTACCAGATATTACTATGTTATTTGCCAAAGTAATTGTAACAAATTTATGTTAATACTTGCACCAGCAATACATGTAAATTTCTCTTTTCCACTTCTTGGAAATAGTTGGTATTAGGAGATTTTTATATTTTTGCCAATCTGGGTTTGAATTAGATGCCATTATTTTAGTTTGCATTTCCCTTATTTTTAAAGAGGTTGAACAGTTTTTCATAAATATCATTTCTGAGATTTTTCCTGTGTATATCCTTTGTCTATTTTTGTATCATCTTGTTTATTACCTTAAGTAATTTGGGAAACTATTTGTGTTTTTCAGATGCTAACCCATTTTTCAGTTCTATGAAACACCATCTGTTTTGGTCTGTGACTCTTCTTTGGACTTTATGATCTATAAAAAACTTTGTAGCTCCAAAGTTTTAAGTTTTAACATCATCAAGATTATCAAACTTTTTCCTTGCAGTTTAAAGCTTCTATAGCTATATCAAGAAATCCTGCTTCATCCTAGTATCAAAAAAGATAGTCTTTTCTATTTGTAGAAGTTTTCAGGTCTTACTTTTCACATAGACAAATTCAAACAGTTTTTATAGCATGAGTAAAGTTTTAAATTTGCAAAGTTTTAACTCTGTTATTAAAATACATATTACATAAATATGCTCCCTTAAAAGGAATGAAAATTGATCTGCCATGGTCAAGTCTGAAGATCTTTTGGAGATTAGTTGTCTAAAATTCCCAGTTTTGAGTGATGTGACTTTTAACTTATGTAAACATCATTTCAACTGTAAAGTATAGAGATGGGACGGTGGGGGGTACTAGAAGCAGGAAGTAAAGGCTCCGAAATGATCTTGGCAATAAATAACAAAGGCATATGTGTAGGTAGTGATAGTAGAGACAGTATCTGCTTTGGTTTCATGAAAAAAGAAGAGGGTCTTTTTTGCATGGCTATTGGTGCCATTCAGAAACAGAGAATATGAGATTAAAAAGTAACGTGTGATAAATAAAAGGGAAAAAATTACCAGTTTTACATCTCTATTAGGAACACAGTATGAATTATTTTTATTGTCATTTTTACTTTTTAATGAACCCTGGGGTGGCACAGTGTTTTCGTCATCTTGGGTATTTGTAGTTGTTCTTTGAGACATCAAGGGCAAAGGTCACTGTCCTTTCCTTTTATGTGTTGTTACCTAAGTTTTCTGTCTTCTAGAATCCCCTACTTTGAAACCAGCGCTGCCAATGGGACAAACATAAGCCAAGCAATTGAAATGCTTCTGGACCTGATCATGAAGCGAATGGAACGGTGTGTGGACAAGTCCTGGATTCCTGAGGGAGTGGTGCGGTCCAATGGTCACACCTCTACCAGTCAGCTAAGTGAAAACAAGGAGAAGGGGGTATGTGGCTGTTGAAAAGTCACGGAAGCGACATAGTGAACAAGTGGCCCATGGCTGTGATCTTCTCTGTGAGTGATACCTGGTACAGTGAGGGATGAATGGGCACTGTAGACAACCTGCTTCTCACCATTTCCAGTAGGCCTATCAATAAAGCATCCAGTTTTAAAATTAATTTTTTGCAGCTTTGTAAATATTTTCTTAGGAGTCAGTCTGAAAGTTAGGAGAACTATTTCACAGAGCTGAAAGTGCCTTATGAAACCTTAGCCCATGGCAGTAGATCATTCTAGGATTCAGGATTTTGCAGCCACAGAAGAGTATATTCATTACATAGGGTGACAGAGGATATGTCACCTGCCTTAATGTAAACAGGCACAGAGTCTCATTTAAGATCTTAGATGCAATTACAAAACTATCACAGTATGGATAGTATGAATTAAAAAATTCCTACTATATGTGACCTTCTAAAGTGCCATTTAAACCACTTGAATGTCAAATAAGACCATTCACATACACCAGTTCAATGTCTTCGGGTACTAATTTTAGGTAAGCATTCTCTTAACATGAATATAGGACAAATTAAGGTTATGTCCATAGATTCTAGGTAAATTGGATTGACCAACTGCACACTCCCGGTGCCTTTTTGTTGGTGGGAAAGGGAGTGGAGGTGGGGGCAGGGATGGTTTGATGGAGTAGGAGCAACTGAAGTGGGACTTCTGGCTCCTCCCTATATATTCATTGCTTTGAACTGTTGATTGAAAGGTTAGGGTATTAGATTTTATGGCTCCAGGCACTGTGATTCATACTATATTTGGCCCGTGTGCTGGCCAAATATCTGAACATCGCTGGTGCTTGTGCTAAAGTTATTTGTGATTAGTAAATATTTAAGTTCTTTTTCTTTATATTTATCATGATGGCCTGGCATCCTTAGGCTGCAGTTTCAATTGGCTTGTAAACTGCTCTTCTCTGTCCTCACCATCGGGCTCTGTATTGTTGATATTTGCAACTTGTTTTACTTTTCCATTGGTTGAATTAAAGGAATTAGTTTTAAAATGGTGGAAGACAGACATTTGTATCTAAGCAATCACATCTGTACTCTAGTTCAACATGAGAGAAATGAAGTATTCCATAGCTTGTATTTTTAATTGAGATCATGGGCATTTACATACTTGCTGGGTCTTGCCAAAACCAGGTATTCTACTCCACTGCCAAAGTGTCTTCATATCAAATTAAAGGTGGTTTTAAAATATGGTTTTTGAAAATTGTTTATAAAGTTTAAGGGTATTCATTCAAGGGAAAGTTCTTGTTAAAATGGCTTAAAGTAAATTAAAATTTCCAGGGAAAGTATCATTCAATTTAGATAAAGAATAAAAGTAACTGTATTTTGTGGTGGCAAATGTTTTGCAGAACAGTAATTAGGTAAATACAAGTATGGTAAAAAATAATTACTTTTATATAATTTTCAAATGGATTTTTATTGAGCATCCATCATTTTTTTTTTTGTCACTGTCTTTCTACCACTCCAGTAACAAACTTATCCATGGTTAGTAATATTTTATGTATTTATATCCTTGAAATAGGGGCTTCTTTTAAATTCTAAGGAAGTCCTGGAGGCCTATGCATTTGAATTGGGTATTCTAGTTAGGAAAAGATTTGGGTGTTTCAAGGGCAGGATCTCAATCATAAAGCATTGCCTTCTAAAGTTGCCATGAGACTTCAGTGGAGTACATCATGATTTTGTACCTACATATTAGGGCATATTTTATACGGCCCACTTGTGTAGTTAAAAATAAGACAATGTTTGCACGTTTCAGTTTTCAAGAACCAAATGAGTAATTAACTACAGATTCCATTGGCCTTAAACATATAATTAAATATATACATGATATAGTACATACATAAGAACCACCTTTAATTATTGAAATAAATAACCTGTATTCTTTTTGGAAAAAATTGTTTAAGTTTTATATTGAAGTACCATATTTTTATGTGTCAATGTATTTTTCTATTTACAAGCCTGTGTAAAAGTAAAGTGCATCTCCTGTGAACCGTGTACCACCAATTAAGCAAATAAAACCAGTGGTATAGACTGTTCAGTTTCTGTGTGAACGTAACTTCATTTCCCATCACACATTTCAAACCAGAGGTTGTAATGCCAAAGGAAATGAAATTGAGGGGTGTCAGGGTATATGGTGGGCCCTGACCTGGGTTGTGGGATGACGCTGGGGAAAAATAATGAGACTTTATACCAATTTAATGTAAACTCTGGGGAGCCTGGAGAGGCTTACATTGACTCACATGCCACTGGGCAGCAGATTGAGACAATGTAGCAACTCTCTGACTTCTCAGAAACCTTTTATCCATCTCTAATGCAAAGCATATATGTAAAATGTAAAGGTGCCAAAATTCTAAAATAGGATTAGAAGAATCCCAAGTCCCCAGGAAGATTGGGTAAAGAGAAAACAGCTGGGTCATCCGGAATATAGGCTAGTAAATTGTCAACAGTGGCTGGTAATGAATTTAGAAATGAGGAGGGAAAAACAAGTTCCATTTCTGCAGGGCAAGCAAGCTAGTTTCCCTCATTTAACTGCCTATCAGGAGTTCAAAGGTCTCAGCCCACTTGCCTGATGATTCTCTGGGCAGAGATGGTCTTAAAGACTTTGCCCTGTCTGGGGTGCCTCTGGACTCCTTTCCTCTTCAGTGGTCTTGATGCGCCCCCAGGGATGGTGTATCTGTGAGCTTTGCCCTGGATTGAGGCCAGGAGCCTGGCAGACAGGTCAGCCTATTTGCCTCCCACATGGGAATGTGTTCCATTAGGTGCTCATTGAGAGGGACAGCCAAGACAACATATTCTGGAAAAAGTAATTCAAAACGTTATCATTTATTGAGTACCTGTATTTGAGAAGTGTTGTAGGCAATCTCAGATAAAGAAAACACAGGAGTGGTTAAGATTTGAACTAGGCCGAAAAGACAGTACAAGAGACATTGGAAAGGGTGCAGGGGACAGGAATTGATTGAATAAGGGGGGAATATGTGGAAAGATGGTTTTTCTGCTCTAATATCCCACCCCTGTCTACTTCACTCATTCTTTTCAGGTACTGGCTTTGTTGGAGGAGTCAAATCCATTCCTGCGTCAGGTCTTTTGCATTTGTGGTTCTCTCTAGTCTGGATGCTAGTCTTCCGTATAGCTATATGCCTCCCTCTCCCATCCTGTATAACTGTTCAAATGTCACCTTATCTGAAAGGACGTTACTGACCACCTGGTGTAAAACAGTCCCCTTCATGGCTCCAATCAGACCATCACTCACTGACACGTTATTCTGCTTTGCTTTTCTCTGTATCACTTTTTACCACTTGATGTATTTATACCTGATATTAGCCCAAGGGCCAAGTGATTCCTTTGATGTCTATTTACAATCCAATCTTCAAAATTGGCAACATCATCCACAAAAGGACCTGGAACACAGTAGGTTCTCAAATGTTTGTGGACTGAATAAAGGAAGAGGTACATAGCAGGGTCAAGTGAAAAAGTTTTAACAACAGGAGTCACTATTAATGTTCAAAGCCAGAACAGAATTTCAGAATAGAATTTAAGGAGCATTCAATATGGAATGTTTTAGTTGGCATTTTTATAAACTACAATCTCTACAGAGGTATTTCCAGGTCTTCTGTTTTTGGCAATTTGGGTGACTATATAGTTGGAAAATTTTCCCATTATAAAGTACTTAGATAAAGTTGGACAAAATATGAGGAACATATTTTTAGAAATGTACTGCTGATTTCTCAAGAAGATAAGGGAAATATCACATCTTTCCCTTAAAACCTGACAACGACAGAGAGAACTTACAACAACCTGATGCTGAGTATAGTTTTCTTTTGGCTTGGTTTTGCCAGTAGTAGTAGTCAAAGTACTTGGTTTTAATGGCTACAAACTATTAGGAGAGATAACCTTGGGCCTCGTTGGGAGTACGGTCTGGAACTGAGAGCTCTTCATTTCCAAATACACCCAAAGCTGGGATCTCATCTGTATCCTTATCCTCCTATGTAAAATTTGTAACCATAAATCTGCTGCTCTAATACAGGTTTGAAGTTCAAATTTATACTACCTAATTTTTCTGGGAATGTTAAGAAATTACACAAAAGATTAACATTAAAGAAGTTATGTGCTCTGGATCACTTGGTTGTAGTAAAGCAAAAATGTTTTCAGAGGGGACATCTCTACACAGACCGTACAGTATTCCTACAGAAAACACCCTACCATGGATGAGCTTACAATTTCTTCCTCGTCTCCTAATCATGAGCAAGGCCAGTAGACCAAACAAACAGTAGAATGTGGCATTGATGAACTTCAACTAATAGACTTATCAGATGGGGACCATAAAGTAAAAATGTTTAAGATAATCATAAACATTAAAGGAATTGAAATCTCCAGAAAAGGAAGACAATATTAAAGATACCAGACTGGTTCAAATTAAAACAAACAACCTTCCAACAATGAAAAACATAGCCTTTGATATTCAAAACGTAATGGTTAAAGGTTAAATTGACAGGTTTGACAGAGTTGAAGAGAAAACTGAACTAGAAGATAGGCTGGAGGAAGTTATAAAGAATTCAGGGAGAGACAAAGACTAAGTATTGGAGAGGTTAAGAAATATAGAGGAAAGAAAAAAACTCCAGCATATCTAGAAATTGAAGGAAGAGAAATTCTAGAAAGAGAAATTAGAGGAAGAGGCACTGTATGGAAAGATAATAGCCGAGAATTTTCTAGCAATAATAAAAGACACCCACAGATTCAGGAATCATAAATCCCAAGCAGGATAAATGAGAAGAAACGTTTCCAAGATTTCAGTTAAAATTTTTTTGGATGTGGAATACATGCTTTTCCCTTCTTCCTCTTGTATTCCATTAAGATAGGTAGAAAGAAAAGTTTCTAAGGCCATTCAATCTAAAACGAAGCCCTGAGAGTTAGGAAGGAACTGTATGAAGAGGTTGGGAAGACGGACAAGGCTCTTCCACAACTGCTGAAGAGGACAGAAGAGGGAGATTAAAGAAGAGTAAAATAATTTTTAGTCTCTTGGTTGACAAAGTATGTGGTGTGTGTCTTTGTTATTTGACATTACTCTGTAATTACAGGCCAAATGATTGACAAAAATATAAGTAGCAGATATGACACTACAAAATACAAGAGAAAAAATTTTGCAAAACAATTTGAAGTGGAAAATGCAGCTCAAAGGAAAATACCAAATCCCAAACCATAAAAGATTGGATAAATCCGCATATATACAAACAAAGCATTTCTACATGGAAAAATACTAAAAAGAATTGATCTAAATGCATGGTTCTAAATGCATGTCAGCAAAGTGGTTAACTTTAGTATGTAAAGTGCTGTTAAAAATCAACAGCACAGAAACTACGTAAAGGATATAATCAGGCAATTCACATGAAAAAAAACCCCCACATTTATAACATTGTGAAAGATCATTCTTAACTTCATTTGTAATTAAATAAACACAAGTTGAAAGTATAATGAAACAATATGTTTTACTTTAGGTTGGCAAGGGTGTAGCGAAATAGGCATCTTGTTGGTTGTTTTGCAGTGTTGTTAAAACTTTTAAAGGCTATTTAGTATTATCTACCAAAATTTAAAATTGTATCTTCTCACCTAGCCATTCTATAAACTCCCTTTTGGAGAGGAAAAAAAGGCACCAGTAAGATGCTTATTATTCCAAAAGATAGGATACATACAGTGACATACATGTAACTGTGAAAAAGAATGTTAAACATAATCAAAATATAGTATATACTAAATGTCTAATATGCCAGGAACTATTCCAGATAGTGAGGATATACCTGTAGACAAACTAAAATCCTTGTCCCTCACAAAGCTCACGTTCCAATGACGGGAGACACAATAAGATGCACAAAAGTGTTAATGGCATGTTCCTTACTGTTATAAAAGAGGGAGACAGGCACACCCATAAACACAGGTCTGCCTGCGCACAGAATCCCTGGTAGGTAGTAACAAAACTGTTTGCCACTGAGGAGGAAGATTAGAGGTCTGGGAAGGAAACTTGAATTTCCTGTGAAAATGTGTATCACATGTGTGTATTAATTAAAATGGGAAGGAGGGGAAAAGCGGAGAACACCCATTCATATACAGATACACGTTTCCTTTCTTTTTTGTTTTTAAGAGAAGGGTCTCACTCTTGCGGGGCTAAGAGTGCAGCAGCGCAACGGTGGCTCACAGCAACCTCAAACTTTGGAGATCAAGCGATTTCTGGGAGTTAACTGGGACTACTGGCGCCAACATACCCGACCAATTTTTCTATTTTTTGTGGAGATGAGGGCTCGCTATGTTGCTCCGGCTGGTCTCGAGCTTGGGCGTTCAGTGATGCTCCTGTCTTGACCTCCCTAAGTGGTTTATTATTATTATTATTACTATTTAGTGGCTCAACTGGTTTCGCTGGAAGGTTCAAAGTTAACACCGGACGGCAGTTTCTTGCGGTTTACAGGTCCGCGTGGGAGCGGAACCCGGGGCTGTACGAACGCAGGTAGTGGTAAAATGAGCTCTTAGAGACAGACAGCCCAGTAAGTGGAGAGGCCGCTGGGGCAAAGCACAAACCAAAGAGAAGATGCATAAAACACGCGTAAACGTCCACATACTTAGAGCAGCTACGAGAGCAAGCTAGTTCTCCCTTTCCTAGCGTAAGGGCCAACGAATCTCGTCTGCGGCTCTGCGCCTGCGCCAAACGGCAGGGCCTCTGCCCGCGCAGCCTCCGGGAGGCGCCGCCACGTTCAGATCACGTCGCGCAGACCCGCGGCAGCCCGGCGCGCTCACCTTTTCCGGGTCGGGGAAGGGGAAGAAAATCACTTCCGGGGACGGCGTACGTCACTTCCTCTCGAGTTTAGCTTTGGGTCTGCCGGGACCCACGCGAGTTCAACATGCGTATCGAGAAGTGTTATTTCTGTTCGGGCCCAATCTACCCTGGCCACGGCATGATGTTCGTCCGCAACGACTGCAAGGTGAGGCGGCCGAGACCAGCGCGCGGGCCGGCCGCGCTCCCGCGGGTCCCGGGCCTCAGTTGGGCGCCGGGTTCTTAAGCGCCTGCCGGATTTGACTCGGGCTCCCCGCGCTGCATCCGTGCGAGGGGGCTTAGTGGGTGACTCTGGCACCGGCCTCCTGCTTGGAGAGTTTCTCCTGCTTGCGGCCTCAGCGGAGCTGGTAGCATTGGCTGTGATGAGATTCCAGAGCAGTTCCGGTCAGCGCCGACCGGGATTCTTGGGGGTCTGTTAGGGCTCTCTGGCAATTTCTGTACAAGGGCCAAATTCTTGAATCTTAAACTTGGTTGAACGTATGCCCAGGCAGGCGTTATACTAAAGTGTAGAGGTTGATGACAATATTGCCTATGTCTTTAATGATATGATAGAGTTATATGTTAAGTCACCGGAGGTAAGTTGGAGAGGGTCATGTTTGGGAAGAGTCGGAATAGAGGTGACATTTATCCTGGATCTTGAATTTCGCTGAAGAGAGTGTAGAGGGCATTTTAGATGGAAGGAAAGAACATTTTGAACAAAGGCACAGAACAGAACAATCACATATCTGTTTGAAGAAGTCTAGATTGTAAATGATAGAGGCTTGGGGCAGGGCTACAAATACAAAGATGAGAGCATATACATGCAAGTAGTAGATAATGAGGCCTAGTTGTAAAAGAGTTTTTGAATGATAGGTGAATTTGCCCTCTCATACAAGAATGAATCCCGTTCCTGTTTCTCAGAGAATCACGTTGTTTCTCAGAATTTGACCCCTCTCACATTTGCTTCTGAATTAATGGGTATTTGTTAAACATTCAGATTCCTGATTTCCACCAAATCTGCTGAGTTGGAATCTTTAAGGGTGAGGGGAACAGGATCTATGAATCTGTATATTTAACAAAGTGATCTTTGACCTGCTAAAAAACAATAGGTCTGACTTCATCACTTTTTATCTCTGTAATAGACCAAAGGTATTGACCTAATTAGAAACAAGGGATACAGTTGAACGTAAGGGCTGAGAAGTATGTTTGAAAACTGAGAAGAGCACATAGAATGTTTTGAATACTTAATTTAAGGAACATGATAAGAAATTTGTAAAAACCAAAAGATTCCCAGGCTGGGGTCTAATTTGCAGTGGGCAGTCTGATTTTATAAATGATCTGGTCATGATTTTATGCTTTTGCCTAGTAATGCTTATCAGCAGGGTACTAGAATTAGAACAACAGATGGTAGAAAGTGTTCAGACCTGGGTATTGATTTGGTAGGCACAGTGGAAGTTAAGCTGAGGAAGTCTAGCAAGGACATTGTTGTATTAGTTGGGAGTCAGCTTGGCCAGCAGATCCAGAACAGAGTTGGTGGGGGGAATAGGAAGAAGTAGAGGTCCTGAAACACTATCAAAGAATAAGTATGTTTGCTAGCAAATCTCCTCTCAGCTCTAGATCTCATTGGATGGAGACATCCTGCTTGTACCTAACAGTGAACCTACTGAAAGAGAATTCCTTATTACATCATATCTTTTTACTCTCTGGGTTACCGTCTTTACGTGCCAAGTTTGCTAGACGTGTGAGAGTTGTCTTTGAATCTTTCACCTTTTTGTATCCACTTATCCAGTCCTATCATTCTGCTTCTTCAATGTCTTTGTTTTTTCCGTCTTCCTGCCCTGGTTCAGATTTGCCACTTACCACTTTTATAGTCTCTTAACTAGTTTTTGTCTTTATTCTCTTAGTTTTTAAGACTGTCTTTCATAGAAACCTCAATTCTTAACTCTTCTTATGTAGCCTTGTAAGGGTAGAATTAGTGTTAATACTCAATATTTTCACATACTTTACAAGCAGAAATAATACCTACAACCTTAATGAAGCCTTAATAAATGTTTATTGAATTAGTTGGATAAGAAAGGTGTGAAGAACTTTTAGGCCAAGGTACATGTTTGATGGATGTGAGTATGACAGGGAACTAGATTACAAGGGGAACTTGAGCCACCAAAGCTTTGCCTTGCGTGTGATCAATCCACCACTTAACCCACCGTAGATTTAACTACTTCCTTATAAGTGTTTACATATTACTTTATATACGATCATAGCTTTATCCCATTGTTTATGCTAGTCTAATTTTGATCCTTTTTTTCCTCACAGTGAGACTTACCATGTTGCTAGATTAAATTTCCCAAGATAGGGTACCATGTTTTAATTCTTGCATCCCTAGTACCTAGTACAACATCAGGCATGTAGTAAGTAGATGCTTCTTATTTACTGATTGACTCGTCCTCACACCTCCAGTGACTCCAGTCTCTTCGGGCGTTTCTTTGTGCTTTTCAGATAATACCTATTAGACGAGGAGTCAGTAGACTTCTCATTGGCTCTGTTTGGAATTGAGAAGATTGAGAACATGTTAGCCTTCTTATTAGATAGATCTTAGAAGTAGAGATTTGCTCAGGAGTTACCTAATAGGTATGAAATGTAGAAGGCTTTTACTTAAAAAGGTAACAGTATTTGGGGCTGAAAATACTCAAATGAAATTTGCTGATAATGATTTCATAGTGGTTACTCCAAGAGACTATAGTCATTATCATATTTTCTTGTCTATTTGAAATTATCTAAAGATTATAGACAGGCTTTCACTCAAGTCTCTTAGGAGAAAGCTATCCAGGGGCCTGGGTTTAGATCAGATTAAACTGATACTGAAAATTGTCCTACAATGTGTATTGACCTGCTTGAAGTTCCCATAGAACAACATACATATATGGTGAAAAGTATTATGATTTTTGGTGTATACACAGGCTTATTTGGTTTGAAATGATTATATTGTTTATTTTGTTCTATTTTATTATTGGTCACAACATCATTTAGGTATGATAATTCCACTTAATTTTTTTTTGCCAAGACCTATAAACTCCAAAGAATTACTTTGTCTCTTCACATTTCCTCTAGTAACATACACAAATTGCAGCGTGTCCTAAGTTTGTACAAAAGTAACAAAATAATACATTTTGGATTTATAAAAGGAGTCTTGATAAACCATTTCAGGAACACAATGAAGGATCATTAAGTTAAGTTACTACTAACAGATTAAATTTTTTGGAATGAAGGCGAAGAATTAAAGTAATAAGAATGCCACTAGTAGATCTATGAATAAATACTTTAGAAAACAAATCAATTGCCATTTTTAGTTGCTTTTGAAAGTATTTTGTGCTTCTAACAAGAAAGAAAGAAGGAAAGGAGATTTTAGAATTGTTAGAAACTTTATCTCCAGTGAGGTATGTAGAAAGTGAATTTTGAAAATTAGCCTGAATGAGATGGGACTTCAATAAATAACTTTACCTAGGACTATTGCTTTCATTTGAGGCCATTGTAAGGTTTTACTGTTATTCTACAAAAATGATTAGTAGTTTTTAACCACATTTTCAGGGCCCTGAGCCATTACTTGGGATGAGGTTTGAGAGTCAAAAAACTTACTAAATGTAGAATATAAATGTCTTAACATGACTAAGAAAATGTCATGAAGGCTATGTTAACCAGTTTGAAATATTTCAAATCGTATATAAAACCAGCACATTGTACCCCGTGACTGCATTAATGTACACAGCTATGATTTAATAATTTAATAAACAAAAGAGTTTAATTTCCATTTACTCTGATGCGTCCTACACATTTCTAAATGATGTCGTGAGTAAGCAGAAGGAATTGTTAGAACTATTGTCATTTCTCAGACTTCACAATAGTTTTTGTTTGGCAGGGATAATATCCTATGCTAGAAAAAATTTTAATGTTGACTTTTCTGTATTTTTAACTTATTTTTCTTGTAGGTGTTCAGATTTTGTAAATCTAAATGTCATAAAAACTTTAAAAAGAAGCGCAATCCTCGCAAGGTCAGGTGGACTAAAGCATTCCGGAAAGCAGCTGGTAAAGAGCTTACAGTGGTGAGTATAGTTAAGCTATCAGTATAGTTTTTGTTTTTGTTTGTTTTTTTTGCAGTTTTTGGCCGGGGTTGGGTTTGAACCCACCACCTCCAGCATGTGGGGCCATTGCCCGACTCCTTTGAGCCACAGGCGCTGCCCTATCAGTATAGTTTTTTGTGTTTTTCAAAATTTCAATTTTAGGGGTGTGTGTATGATTTAATTAATCACAACCTAAGTGCTTTATTTGTTTTGGCTATGGACATAATCTCATTCTCACATAATCCTGAAAACCATACTTCTGTAGAATTCTGAAAAGGGGAAAAAATTCCCAGTCCAGTTTTATAGAATTTTTTTTTTTAAATTCTCAGAAAACTATTTTCAGCTCTTGCAAACAAAGAGAAAAATCATTTAAATGTTGGGGTGAAGTTAGAAATTCTTACTCAAGGATTTTGAGAGGAAGTTTAGAGATTAAGGATTCCTGAACAGCAGTGGGGACTTAGATGAAGTTAGTAATAGACTCATTTATCAGTTTCTGGATTTCCTTAGCAGAAGTTTGTGTCTGAGGTCAGAGAGATTAGTTAATAGCATTGGTATGAAGAAGAATAGGGAAAGTCAGGGGGTTAGGGAATTTCATCATATTGTGGTTATGAATCCATAAAAGGATCTGTTAAAGTTTGTTCAAGTTTGTTCCCTGTAAGGGGACAGAGGAATGCTGCAGCCAGACTACCTTTGAGCGGGGGAATCTTTCTATTCCCGGCTTCAGTGGCCTCTTCCCCGAAAACCTATCACCTCTTTTCCACCTCTCTTGCTCCTAAGGGACAGTATCTATAAGCATTTGCCATGAAGCCCTTTTGTGGCTTCCTTAACACCAGAGCTTTTCAGTGAATGTAAGGAATATTATTTGACAAGATGCAAGGCCAAATCGTGATTCTTGTCACACACGTTATTTTCATTCTGGGCAAGAGGAAGCGTAGCGCCCCAAATGTAAGTGGCAACTGCGTGAGTGAAGAAAGAATGTCAGTCAAGTCATTTGGTAATTACTAGTTAACTTATTGCTGAGGTTATTGTGATCATGTGGCATGTGTATGTACAAGAAATAGCTAAATACACAGCGCCATTAATATGTCTGTGTCAGATAGATTTGAAAACCAAGAAATAACTCTAGTTTTTCTATATAGTGTCTTCAAATCTTTTTGCTGTAATAGGTATTTAGGTCAAATCATGAAATTCTTGATGTTTGACTTTTTCATCTGTGAAAAATAGCAACTTCATGTGCATAAAAATTTTTTTGGTGGTGAGTCTTAGCTAGGAATAGGAAATTGGAGAAGCTTTTCCAGTTGGTGTGTAATTTCCATGATTGTTATTATATCTTCTCCTCTGAAGGATGGGGTGATACTCTCCCTTACACTCCATTTGAGAATCACTTGTATGTAGAGAGAAGTTTTCGGCAGGGCTGTTTTGTACATGGAGGTGTGTAAAGGAAAAAAGTTTGAAAACTTGTATTCTCTGAGATCACCCTGGGGGGATCTTAACACGTGTTCACTGGGAACTCTTGTGAAAGGAGGATGTTTTAAGAATTGCTTCCTTAAAACCGTTATTTTTACCCCATCTTTTTCCTCTTACAGGATAATTCATTTGAATTTGAGAAACGCAGAAATGAACCTGTCAAATACCAGAGAGAACTATGGAATAAAACTAGTAAGTCGCAAGGAAATACCCAGAATTTTTAGGAGAGGCTGGTTTGGGATATTGCTAGAACTTTCAGTATCAATTTGTTGTTTAAATACTAAGTTTCTCATTTTCATTGCTTGGCTTTTATTCTTTTATCTTCATTTTAATAGTTCTGTTGTATTGTATCTTTATTAGGCGCTATCCTAAAGTCTTTTCACAAAGGGCTGGTGTATCCATTAGAAAATAATATTAAATTTGATATTACTTAAAGTGCCCAGAGATATAAAAACATTAAAAAATCTGAAAAAATAGAAATGGAAAATATTTTTTTTTGGGGGGGGGGATGAGTGTGGTATGGTAAAATAGACACAAAACCTAATGGAGTGGATAAGTTTAGATCTAGTTTAGGGACATAAATTATATTCTGTAAAAATTTAGTACTTTAAGATTAAAAAGTATAGCACTTAAGGTGATCATAACAAATATTCTAAGAGAACCTCTAACTCAGTGGTTCTTAACCTTCCTGATGCCACAGTGTATTTTCATTGTTAAAAAGGGGTCACAACCCACAGAACCTCTGCTCTAAGTGCTTGGCTTGGGTGAAAATGAAATTATAGGCAACTGAATTAAAAGCGATAATAATTTGGTTCTTGGTTTTTTTTTTTCCCTCCTGATGTAGGCAGAGACTTCAATGCAAAGAGTCTCATGTGTAGTCTCAGTTTCTTGAAGCTGCCTTACAGATTCTACTTTGTTAATGTGTTGGGGGCCCTTAGCCCTGACCTTGATTTCTCCCAGGACTCCTTGCAGGTTGTCTTTAACCATTTATAGGTTTTTTGTTTTTGTTTTTGTTTTGAGACCTAGCTCCACTCTGTTGCCCCAGGCTAGAGTGCTGCCTCATAGCTCACAGCAACCTCAAACTCCTGAGCTCAAGTGATCCTCTTGCCTCAACCTCCTGAGTAGCTGGTACTATAGGCATGCACCACCTTGTCTGTCTAGTTTTTCTGTTTTTAGTAGAGATGGGGGTCTCGCTCTTGCTCAGGCAATCCATCTGCCTCTGTCTCCGAGAGGGCTGGGATTATAGGCAGGAGCCACTGCACCTCGCCCATGTCTAGTATTGAATGTGGGGGTAATTTGATTTGTTAACCAGAAGTCCCTAAGGCTTAGAATTCTGTAAAGTTTTATACCTCACCTAAAGGATCATAGGTAGGCATCCCTTTCAGCACCTTTTCTGTGGTGAGTCACAAGACTTCAGGGAAGGAATTGAAAAGCTGTGGGCCTTTGTGGCAGTATTTGACACCTTCTGAAGCTTTATCTTGGAATAGGTGGAGAAATTGGAGCCTAGATTTGGAAGGTTTTTTCCACATTGTTCTAAGTATTCTGTCTTTGGGGTTTTTCCCTCTCTTCTTTTTCTTTCTTTTTTTTTTTTTGATAAGGTATTTCTCTCCTGTTTTATAATTAGAAGAAGAGTTCATTTCTGAAAAGCAGTCAATTTTTATTGGTTTATAATTTAGTAAGGATTTCTAAAGAAATTAACTTCATAGGATTCTTAATTTGATTCCAGTAGGCCCCCTTATCAAGGACATTATTGAAAGGTCCTGAAGCATTTCTAGACCTTATTCAGTTTTATTTTGTTTTTGCTTCTGTTTACTTTTTACGTTACAATGTGAACACAGCAGCTCCTGATCATTTTTACATAGTATTTTTAACTACTTTTATTTGATAGATATTCAGCTTGATGTTGAAATTGAGGTACATATCCCATTTTTGTGATATGTGGATGTGCAGTTACTGTGACCCTCCATGCTGCTTTCATGTTATTTACATTGCTCTTGAGAAATACTGCTGTGTTCCGTAAGACTTCATGCACAGCAGACCCTCCATAATTGGTCACTTCCCTAAGTTGACCTAATTTTCATAGCCCAGACCTGTACCACAGGCAAGTTTTCATACAGTAGGCCCAGCTCCTTATGTTGACCACCTCTGTATGTTGTTACAGTCTCTCGGCTGGTCAACTTACAGAGGTTCTACTGTACTTTAATAGTAATGTTTTTGCAGTTCTTAATTTATTTTAACTAAGCGCACATTTATTAAGCACTGCCTTTAGTGTACAAAGAGGCACAGGTCACACACAGTTCCTGCCCTCTACATACATTTTACTGACTATTCCTGGTTTATTCTTTCTGTTAGATGGTAATTGGTTCAGGTATTATCAGAGTCTCATTCCTTTGCTCCCTTTATTTATAGGAGGTCTGATGGTTGAGTTTGTGAACTCATCCTAGTAAAAGTGCTACATACCTCATTGCTGAATATCACTACAGTCACCTTTGAAGCACACCCCTTGGGAAGCTGTGCACCAACGCCAGTGCCTAGTCTACCTTTCAGAGCAACTTTGGGATTCTTTTTCTGGAATGGCCATCATTTGTTTTTATATGGCACACAGAAACATGCAACAATACTGAACGCCTCTTAGCAAGACACTGCCACATGTTGACATGAGCACTTCTGTGAGACACTGATATATATACCAGTGTTATGAAACCTTACTGAGTTGTTTGTGCAGTGCTGCCAGTGTAAGTGCATGCTGGCAAGTTTGAGAACTTGTCACAATTCACACATTGACCAGTAATCCCAAGTTCTTTTTATAGTTAAGTTTGAAAAGCAACAGACTGGTTTAAAGTGAAAGAAAAATTTAATAGCCGAAAAAGCTGCTATTGAATGAAAATTCCAGAAATGACATCTGTGAAAAAGAACATTGACAGTGAGGTCAGTCGAGGTTATAAACTTTCTTCAGCTTTTTCAGTAGGGATTGTTTTTACAATGAGTATTTTTATTTCAGTAGAAGTCTCTGTTAAAGCACTTGTTGGTTACAATCACACTGCTTGAATGTGCATAAATTTATTAACTTTGATGAATTTTTTTGTAGTTGATGCAATGAAGAGAGTTGAAGAGATCAAACAGAAACGCCAAGCTAAATTTATAATGAACAGGTATGCGTATTTGTATAGAGTAACTCTCAGAGAAATAATTACTGGTAGATACCTAGAGGCATTTGTATTTTTTGTGTAACTTTATTTTGACATTTCATACATGCATAAAACTTGCAAGGTTAATATGAGAATTCTTGTATATTCTGTTAACATTGTACCGTATTTACCTTATCCTTGTCACTATGGTAAGTTGAGACATATTACCCGTTTCTTCTAAGCATACTTTAGTATGTGTAACCTAAAAATGAGAATATTCTCTTAAATACCATGATCACTAAAGCCAGGAAGTTAACACTGATGTCATAATGTCACATTATTTACAGTTCTTGTTTAGATTTCATTAATTGTTAATAATGTCCTTTAGAGCAACAGAAAATCTTACATCATGTGTTACATTTAGTGGTCATATCTCTTTGGGCTCCCTTAATCTGAACAGTTTTTCATCTGTTTTACATGATATTGACTTTTTCTTTTTTTGAGAGACAGTCTCAAGCTATCGCCCTGGGTAGAGTGCTGTGGCATCATAACTCACAGCAACCTCAAACTCTTGGGCTTAAGCGATTCTCTTGCCTCAGTTTCCCAAGTAGCTGGGACTACAGGTGCCTGCCACAACACCCAGCTTTTGTTGTTGTTGTTGTTGTTGTTGCAGTTTTCATTGTTGTTTTAGCTGGCCCTGTCTGGGTTCCAACCCAGATGCCCTACCCACTGAGCTACAGGCACCACTGATGTTGACATTCTTGAAGAATATCAGCCAGGTTATTTCGTACAGTGTTTCTTAATTTGGATTTTCCTCATGATTAGTTTTTGGCCCGACACCTGTGGCAGGAATATCACAGATGTGATGGTGTGTCCTCCTCATGCATGGTGTCTGCAGGCACAGGATGTAACCTTGCTGGTGCTGTTAATGTTGATCATTTTTTTAAGGTGGTGCCTGCCAAGTTTCTCCACTGGAAAGTTACTCTTTTTTTCCTCCCTTACAATCAATACTTATTTTCAGGGAAATTCATTGAGATTCTGTAAGAGACTTTTATTCTTCAAAGTTGTACCTTATAGGTTTTAGCACCTTAGAGGGTCTTGCCTGAATCAGTTACTACTGTGATTTTTGCCCAGAGGTGTTTTTTCTGATTTATCATTTCTTTTACATTTCTTAGTTGGCTTCTCATGTGAAAAATAGCTTTCCTTTCCCCCTCTGTTTCAGAACTTATACCTTTATTCATACCATGTCTGTGTGCATTCATGGGTGTTTATGGTATTCAGTGGGTTACAGTTTTTTACTATCATTATTTATGGTTTAAGCTTGACCAGTGCCAGTTCTTTCAGGCAGGTTCTTATGTCATTTTGACAATTCCTCATCATTCTTTGAGGCCCTTCTTTTATGGCTAACAAGATGTTCCAAGCTTTATCTGATACTTTGCCTATAGCCAGCTATATCTTCAGAGCAAGAACATTGGTTTTTAATCTAATCGTGGTGTAATGTGTTGTAGAGAAGAAGCAAGTGCCAGGAGCTTACTAGCTTAAAAAAATGCTGAAGCATGACCGAAAAGGAGCCTAAGTGTTTCAGAACTAATCTGTTAGCATTTTTGAACATAATATGTTGGTTTTTGTTCTTGTAATTATTGAATGATTATAGTTTTTTTATTGAGTGATTTTCAAAAAATTACATAACACTGTTACATATTTGAGGAGAAAAGATCTGGACATTTTAACAATTAGAGATTGTTTTATGGAGTAGAGTACTGCGTGAGATTTGTTCATTCTTTTCTTCAGTCACATCCTTCATTCACTTATTAAACACATACATATATATGCATGTATATGCATGGTACATATGTCATATTTTGTGCCAGACGAAGCACACGTATATAGTGAATGAATAGTTGTGGGAGTACAGAAGTCCTGTTAAGCTATTTAGGAACTAAAAATCCTTTTGAATTTTAGTTGATAGGGAAGAAAATGTATATCCTGTAAGGGTTTAATAGTTCACTTTACCTTAAATCTGCAAATAAACATGAAAGTGGATATCTCTTTAAGTTCACCACTTGCCATTTTGGAATGAGTAATTTGAGAGACCTGAGAGACTCTTTGTTGACTTAGTTTTGGTGTTTCTGGGGGGCTGGGGGAGGGAGGGGAGAAGAAGAGGGAGTGAGCAGGAGGGCAGTCGTGTAGTTCCCATTCCCCATCTGTGTGGCTAACTTCATTAGTAACACTTAGTACCTATGTTGCGAATTTATGTCTCGTGAAGTCTTAGTAACTGAAATTTTGGCTTTGATATGTTTTATCCTAGACTGAAGAAAAATAAAGAGCTACAGAAAGTCCAGGACATCAAGGAAGTCAAGCAAAACATCCATCTTATCCGAGCCCCTCTTGCAGGTAAGTACTGCGTGACACGGGACTGGGCTTTAGGTTGAGAAATGAAAAGTCTAGATTTTTGTGGTCTGTGTTAATTGGGTACCAGTTAACTTTGGGTACTTTTTTCATTTAAATTTTATCTTTCAAAGTACATTTATGGTATGACTTGGTTTATAAAAATATGATTTATTTAGTGTATAGCCCAGTTGTAGTCAACTATTGGATATGGTGTTTCTTTTTCTCTTCATTAAATTCTGTTTTCCATAAGATACCTCCCCACGTTAGGCAAAATGATTTGAATAATAATATCATGGATGATTTTGTACCGTACTTGTTTTGATTAAAGGACATAATTTGTATTAGTGGTTCTCAAGTTTTGGTTGATATTGGAATTACTTGGGGAACTTAGTATAAATACAAAGGCCAAGGCCCTTTTAAGTCTGCAACTCTATTCTTTTTTTTTTTTTTTTTTTTTTTCAATTTTTTTTGGGTTGGGGCCGGGTTTGAACCCACCATCTCTGGTATATGGGGCTGGTGTCCTACTCCTTTGAGCCACGGGTGCTGCCCTGCACCTCTGTTCTCCAGAAGCATTCTAGGTGATTTAGATACTCAAGTTTGAGGACTGTTGTTTTATATTAAAACTTCTTTGTAGTAGTCACCCCTTTAGGCAGTTGTTCGTTTGCATAATGCATGAGGCCCTAGAAAACTAGTCTTTTACTCAGCTGGTACCATCTGTTAACGTAATTTAGTTAGTTCAGTAAAAGTCAAATCCTATGACCATGTGTCATATAGATTTTTATAAAAGTCCTACCTGGATTATTGTACTAACTTTTATTAAAACAAATAGACAAAATGCTGGAGTATTTCTTTAACATGTTAGTGATACAAACTGATACTCAGAAAGCAAGAGGAATGAGTCATTGTTATCTAACTTTTTAGGTAATCCTCTTTGAGGTAGATAATACTGTGTTAAGAATAGGGACCTTGGAACCAGATGGCCAGGGTTCAAATACCAGCTCTTTGACTTACGTAATTTTATAGCTGAGTGACCTTGGGGAGGTTAATCTGTCATTGTGCTTCAGTTGTCTCATCTTTATTCTTTTATTTTTATTTATTTATTGTTTTTGAGACAGAGTCTCACTATGTCACCCTGGCTAGAGTGCTGTGGCGTCACAGCTCAAAGCAAACTCAAACTCTTGGGCTTAAGTGATTCTCTTGCCTCAGCCTCCCAAGTAGCTGGGACTGTAGGCACCTGCCACAATACCTGGATGTTTTGTTGTTGCAGTTGTCATTGTTTTAGCAGGCCCTGGGCAGGGTCAAACCTGCCAGGCTTGGTATATGTAGTTGGCACCCTAACCACTGAGTATAGGTGCCACCTAGTTGTCTCATTTTTAAAATGGGACTTTGTTGTGAGGATGAAATGAGCAGGTGTGTGTATAGCGTTTACTTTATGCATAGTGTATCATAAGACCTGTATAAATTTAGTTGGCCTTAAATTTCTGAGAAATGGCTAATATTATAAAACATACAAAATTCTTTATGAAGTGTTGATATGAATTCTATGAAGACACGTTAAATTAAATTTTTAATTTTTTATTTTTATTAAAGGCAAAGCAAAGAAGTTGGAAGAGAAAATGGTACAGCAGTTACAAGAGGATGTGGACATGGACGATGTTTCCTAAAAATCTTACTGTCTGTAACCATTTCTATGTGTACATTTGAAAATGTTTTTTAGAGACAGGGCTTATAAGTTATTGATTTATTTTTTATAAGGTCACCCAAATGAAAGGGGATTATAAATATATCACCTACATTGCAGTCTGCAAAAAATCACATAGTATGGATATTTGATTGCATCTCAGTGTTAAACCTCACTACAGATGTGCTTACGTAAATTACGAAAGTTTTGTTTGTAAAGACAGAAGTGAATTGTGGGCATACAATGGTCATGCCATTTGGATTAACGGCCCTGGACGGGTCGTATTATATAATAACTAAGGACAAAAGTTCTGACCAGTTATATGTGAAACTAAAATTTTCTTTATAGTAAAATAATCCCTTTATTAATGTTTTGTAGACGGGAGATACAGCAAGGAACTAACGATTTGTGACTATTAGTTTCCAATAACATCTTTTATTTTGATCAGTCTTTCCTGTTTTTAGCATCTTTCAAGACCATAATAGCCTTATATCATAAAGCCTAGACTGAACTATTTTGGCTGGGTTTAACTGGTCATTTTTTTTTTTTAGAGACAGTCTCACTTTATTGCCCTAGGTAGAGTGCCATGACGTCACAGCTCACAGCAACCTCCAGCTCTTGGGCTTAGGTGATTCTCCTGCCTCCGCCTCCCGAGTAGCTGGGACTACAGGCGCCCACCACAATACCTGGCTATTTTTTGTTGCAGTTTGGCCAGGGCCGGGTTTGAACCTGCTACCGGGTTTAACTGTTGTAAAAGCTAGTTATGGGTGTTGGGGATGAAAGCTGAATAGTCTTTCCCTGAAATGGCACTGTATAATTTCCACTTGGGGAATACTCAGTTCTACCTTGTGATTCCTGGCAGAATAAGCTTGATTTTTCTAGCCCAGCAGTGAAGGAGAGGAATCCATTGCCTTTTAAAGTTTGTTCTGTGATTTTCTTTGTAAAAGTTCCTAATTGTTTTTGTAAAGTAGAATTTATGGGTAGAACCCTTTTCCTTTAGTTGCACAAAAAATAAAACCATTTTTAAAGTCATGTCGGTACAGTTATTTAAAGGGGCTAAACAAAGATAGGAAGTATTGATTATTTGGAAGGAAATAACTTCCTCTACACATACTACTTAAGTAGGAAATATATTTAATTACAGATTATTTATTTATTTATAATACAGTATAATGTATTTTATACTTCATTTCTATATTTTTATATTGTTGACAGCTTTAAGTGTAAGAATATTAAGTATCAGTTTGTATACTGGTAACGTGGATCAGTATACAAACAGTAATAAAATCAGTTATTCTGGTAGGCAGAATTTAGAAGAAATTGCAAATTCTGAGGATTCTAATTTTTTATTTTAGTATTAAATAGATAGTATAAAGGCAGCCCAGTGGCTGGACCAAGTGTTAGAAGACCTGAATCCCACTGTGGTTTTTCCTTGGTGTTCCTATTTGTAAAATGCAGTTCACTTGTCAGCAACATTATTAATGATAATAGGGGAAATAACATATGTGACAAAAGACGTTTGTAGAATTTCTTGGGAAGTTTTTACTACACACTGTATTCATGTCTTTTTAAATATGAGGGTTGTTGGAAAGTATCCAGCAGTTGTTAATACTATTTTTCATATTATATGGCTAAATACTTTCTGGGTAGTCCTTGTATAAACACATTTAAAATTCTATACTATTAGGATATAAATGTTGAACCTTGCTGATTAGGGAGGGAAATTGGGTTGAATAGAAGAGCTGACATCACATCTTGGGGTTAGCATCCAGACTGTTCTCTTCAGTGTCATGATTTCATAGTATTTAGAGAACACAGATCTCATTTTAAACTATATGGACATAATTGCCAGTTTTATCCCCCCTGACTCTTCTAAACTGTTGAGATAAGTTTGGTGCCATGGTACAGTGCTTTAGGCTGCTATTGATTCAGCTTGTTTGGTCAAGACCTATGCCGAGCAGTTAGCATAATACAAAAGCGTAATATTTCCAGACAGTCACTACACAGAGCTCTTACATGGTCTAGTTCTTTAGGAAAAATGTAGGATTGGAAGTCACTGCAAGGAATATCCTTAACACATATACCTTACAATACCTTGTAGGAATACAGAAAAAAGACTTCTCACATAAAAAAGAAATCTTACTTCTTCAAACTAGAAACCGTAGGAAGATGTTTATCTTACAGTTAGGAGTTTGAGAAGAACTGGCCTACTTTACAATGTCCCATGAAGTGGACGCATTATTCGCATTTTATAGATAGAAAGATTTGCAGTCTAGGTAACTTGTTCATTTACCACACAGCTAGAAGATGGAAGGGGTGGGGATTTGTGTTTGTACAAGTCTTTTTTCGAAGTTGCCCTGCATACATGTAGAAGGAATTTATCTGGAGCCTCATGTAGCCGGTCTTCACAAACCCAGATTGCTAAGAGTGGTGGCTATGACCTAGTTTCCTCATCGGAAAGATGAATCTAATAGGATGGATTTCTTAATTTTTGAAAAATGAATATAATGGGTCTGATCTTGGAATTTTTTGTTAATCATCAGTTAATACATGTAAAATACTAATTTCAAGGCCACTACCATAGTAAGCTAGTGTTACAATGTTAGCTGCTAGGATTGGCTGTGTGTGGCCACATAAAACCAAGAGCAATGGGCTTTGACTTGGGAGAGAGAAGGGTAGTAGGGTTTGGGGATACTGGTGATTAAGACAGGGACATGTGTAGTTTAAAATATCAATTTTAGCCTTCAAGTCGGCTGAGAAGTTCTTTTGTTAAGAGGCATCTCAATTCCCATTTTCATTAGGAAGAGTGGGAAGGGAAAATACATTTTTGGTTCCTCTCTTAGTTTAAAAGATGAATAGTTGCCCCTACTTTTAAAGGGTATGTGAAGAAGGGAAGTTATTTTTCCCCCCTGTTCTTTACTTTACATCTTAAACGGAGATCTGAAGAAAGACGTCTGACTGTAATCACTTACAGATGTGGTATACATTCTAATACTCATCGAAGACTACCTTGTAGAAGTTAACATGGGAGCTTGCTGGATTGAGTGTATTAAAAAGACAAAGGGGGAAGTCAGTATTAAAAAAGAATCTTAAAACCAGAAAATTTCAAGGGGTCAAATTTTCCAAAGTTCATATTTTCTCATCAGTATATTACAGGATTGGACAGGTGACCAAAAGTTTTACCTTGCATGTCTTTATACTGAGCGTATCAATCAGCCTTATTTCTACAAAAGGAGAAATGACCTCTTATTAAAAATGTATTCTTTATCCTCTGAATGTAAACATCTCTACTTTCTAGTGCCCTAGGGCAAGCCTCTGACTAAAGCTCTCCTCTTCCTAGAGTTTGAATTTTAACCAGTTGAGGCTGTCATGTTTGGGCTGAGGGTGATGGCTTCTGCCACTTGTCTTCCCTGGAATGGTGGTTACCTGGTCTCTTTGATTCTGTGACTTCCTGTGATCCTAGTAATAAATTCCTTCTTTCAAAATTTGTAACCAAAAATCTTAACTGATAGACATCCTCTCCGGTAAATTTAGGCAACTCATTTCCATCATATTCTTCCAGAGCGTTAGGACTTCTTATCCCAGACACACGTTCAGCATCAGGTCTCTGGAAGATGCTCAATAAACGTCTATAAACGGAAAGTGAGCATGTAGCCATATGCTCAGTTTTAGTCTATATTTTTCAATAAGTCATAAATTGAAAGAGATAATAAATTACCAGTAGAGAGACATACTAAGAATGGAAGTAGCCTATCAGGGACTCGGACATTGATCAAATCTGCACTGTTGGGAAGGCTTGCTGGAAAGCAGTGGCGGCCTTGGGTTACACACCTGATTTTGCTGCTTAGCTCATTGTCTAATAGTAATAGACCAATCAAAGCTACGTTTCTGGGTCTGGCTGGACCCTTCTCACGTGATTAGAAATCCCAGCAAAAATAGGATGAGCTGTTTCTGGTACATTTCTTCAAGAACTTTTGACCAGACTTTGCTTTTTTGATGGAAATATTCCCTTATTCCAGTAGCTGCAGAGTCTAAAAATAGAAATAAGGAGAACTAATTGGAGAAAATCTATCAAGATACTAAGAGGACTGCTCCAAAGGAATGTCAACTAACTAAAAAATATAGGAGACTGGCCACTTAGTATTGTAAAACCCTTTGTTTCATAAATAACAACCATTAAATGCTTACTCTGTTTAGTATATTCTAGTAGAGTGTATATACATTTGGCTCAGCACCAATCCAGGGACATTTTTTTTTTTTGGAGACAGTTTTAACTGTGTCGCCCTCGGTAGAGTGCAATGGTGTTACAGCTCACAGCAACCTTAAACTCTTGAGCTCAGTGATTCTCTTGCCTCAGTCTCCCACGTAGCTGGGACTATAGGTGCCTGCCACAATGCCGGGCTGTTTTTTAGAGACAGGGTCTCACTCTTGCTCAGGGTGGTCTTGAACTCCTGAGCTCAAGACAGTCCACCCATCTTGGCCTCCCAGAGTGCCAGGATTATAGGCATGTGCTACTGTGCCCGGCCTCAATCCCAGGGACTCTTAAAAGGAACACCATTTTTTTTTTTTTTTAAAGTGACTCTGTCTAGTCACTTTATCACCCTCAGTACAGTGCTATGGCATTGTAGCTCACAGCAACCTCCAGCTCCTGGGCTTAGGCGATTCTCTTGTCTCAGCCTCCCAAGTAACTGGGACTACAGGCACCTGCCACAACACCTGGCTATTTTTTGTTGCACTTTGGCCGGGGCCAGGTTTGAACCCACCACCCTTGGTATGTGGGGCTGGCACCCTACCCACTGAGCCACAGGCAGCACCCAGAGGAACACCATTCTAATCAGTGAGTTACCCTGTGCAGTTTTTTATTCTATACTAATGATATTGTCACATATTTCCTTTTCTGATATCAGGGAGTGCAGTGTATGCAGCAGAGAAGTATTAGAGGCAGTTAACCTGATAAAAGGACCCGCCACCCACAAGCAGATAGTGATACAAAACGCTTGCTCATACTGTGTTCATCTATAGGAGCTTGCATTGCACGTCCCGAGTCGCTCTCCAGTCTTTCCCAATTCTTCATGCTGCCGAAAACATCAGAGACAATAGCTTTTTGACTTTGTAGAAATAGAATTTCTCTATTTCTAGAAGGCACACAAGAATTACCAGAAGATGCATTAGAAGAATGTACAATGGAAATAAGCCTGGTGTAGGGAAAAGCATCTCAAAAGGATAAACTATCCAGGTCACAACCTCTAAGTGCCTTTGGTTACACATTTGCAAACAAGATGTAGCACTTAGTCCGGGAGTTGTGAGAATCCAGTGATACAGTAATAGTCACAGCCAGCTACATTGTATGTTATTTCCTGATGTGGACAACCCTGCAGTTTAGTCCTTCCCATTTTGCAGATGAGGAACATGAATGTAAGGGAAATTCAGTAACTCGGTCTGTGTCAGTAGCCAGTGAGTAACTAGCAGAGGTTAGCTCCAAGCTCAGCCTGCCTGACCCTAAATCACTATAGTCTCTATCCTAAACAGCATGTAGCACAATACCTGCT